GGTGCTTCTTGACACGCGCAACTTGAACCTGTCTCACCTCCCATCCAAACTCCGGCCTCGCTTCTGTGGTCCTTTTCTCGTTGAGGCACAGGTGACACCAGTTACATTCCGCTTGCGCTTACCAGATACGTGGAAGCTTCACAATGCTTTCCATGTGCAGCTACTGAAACCCTACAAGGACCCCAACCAGCAGTTCCAGGGACGGCAGCTACCGCCACCTCCACCTGTTCTTGTGCAGGACGAAACCGAGTACGAGATTGAGCGCGTCCTCTCTCATCGGCGCCACGGCGGCAGGACCCTCGAGTTCCTGATACGCTGGAAGGGATACGACCCCACTGAGGACAGTTGGGTTGCAGAAGCTGATATGGGCAACGCACGCCGTGCTCTTAAGGACTATCTTGTCAAGCAGGGTGTATCTCACGCCACCCAGCTTTGAGGGGGGGACGTGTGAGAGTACGACGGCTTATGCCAGCTATGCTTGCTTGCCTTTACTTTATCATGCTATTTCTAGCATAGGAAAATTATATGCATGCATGAATTGCTTGATTTCCTAGGCTAGGTGCTTTCCTATATTTTATTATAGTTATAGCACCGAGCTAGGTTGCGTGCACCGAATTCTGGCTCTTCGGTTGCCACCGAATTGCCTTCTACCGAATTCGGGAAGGATCTGTTCGGGACGCTTCGCGACCCGCGGAACCTTCGCGTAACACCTGGTTACGCGGTCTTGTGTCGAGCATATATATAGCCTCGTGTTGTACCCACGTGATCATAAAATTCACATTCTCTTTTCTGAGCTCGATCCTAGATCCTCACATGCGCGGTCCGAAAAGGAAAGTGGCTCCGATGCCAAGTGTTACGGGTGCAATGAATTGAGGTAGCGAGGATTGCAATAGAGTGGTCAAAGAGTACAAGGTATGAGCGAAGGCATGAGCGAATACTTATACGCGAAAACATGCAAACGGTAACGCGGTGCATGCGAGCTAGCTAGTGCTATGCTGGCGCGTGGTTCGGGCTAGTCCCGAAGCGTAGGCCGACTCGGCTGCTCCAGCAGTGCGAGGTTTGGTGAAACAGTGCGTGCGACGTTGGCGAAGCCCCGTTAGCAGTATCGGGCGAACAACGGCTGCTGCCGTACGCGATGTTGACAGTCGCGGTAAGGAATAGCGAGAAACTTCCTTACAACAATGAAAGAGTGCGTGGAAGTCAACAAAAGAAGTTCTTAAAAATCCTCACCATGGAGCTAGCCTAGCACATATATAAAGTAAACCAGGAGGAGTCTCCAAGCGCAGTGAGCGGCGAGAGGACGCTGTGTCGTTAGCAGTTCACCCCCATCAGCCGGGCCAACGGGGTCTGAGGAGACCTGCAAAGGCTCAACCAAGGGGGGTGGTGTGACCTGAGACACTCCTCAAGGAGCAGGATGCGGAGGGAGGGGAGGGGGTCAACCGGGGGCGAAAAAGGAAACAAGAAGAGGGGCCCGGGGAGGGGGGGGGGGGGGGGGGGGGGAGGACAGGGGAACTGCGGTGGGGGAAGAGACAGTAGTAGCAAACTGACTCGTCAAATGTGACGTCACGGGAGGACAAGACGCGACGCGTGGCTGGGTGGTCAAAACTGCCAGTCAGGCGCATTGGTGGAACAACCAAGGAAGACGTAGCGAATTGTGCGAAGAGAGAGCTTGCCCGCGGTAGAATCGCGAATAAGGGCAAGCAAACCCAGACCCGAAATGCCGACGCATCGCCAACCTCCTCTGTCCAACGCAGTGTAGGCGAGGTCTCTAGCTCGAAGACACGGGGCCAAAGGTTGAGCTGTTGCGCGGGGTATCGGACCGCAAACGACCATGGGGAGCTGTCGCATGAATCATGGAGGTGCGACCAATCTCCATGATCAAGCCAATATGGCACTCTGCAATCCCATTCTACTGTGGAGAGGCCGGAAGCGTGAACGATTGGGTGATGCCCTCCTCGCAACAAAAGTCATCAAGAAGACAAGAGGAAAAATCTCCACCATGATCAGAGTGCAGACGGAGCGCCGGGAGGTCCTGACAAGAACCGTACGCTCAGCTGGCGACGAACAGCAGGGATCAAAGCAACACGTACGTCTCCCTTATGCTCTAACAGAAACACTGTGGTGTAGCGCATGTAGTACTCGACGACCAGCAGGAAGTAGCCCAGATACGGGGGCGGGGCCCCATACGTCCATGTGCAACGTCTGCAGAGGAGCAGTGGTCGGAGAAAACGAGGAGGAGTGAGGAGCGGCGCGTTGCAGCCCCTCGACGCAGGTAGTGCACGGTGGCGCAAGCGATGGCGGGAGCGAGGGCAGGGATCGCGGGAGGCCAGAAACAAGGAGACACGCATGCATGCGACGCAGACGCTGCAGGGAGGGGTGACCAAGACGGTGGTGCCAGAGGAGGGACGGGTGCGTGAGTAACTGACACGAGCAGGACGCAACTATCTGACCTGATGCGCACACCTGAGCAGACTCAGTGTGGAGTGTGTACAATCCAGACCCAAGTCTCGGAATGAACGTGGCAAGGTGGTCGCCTGTCACTGAGTCCTTACACCTTGCTCACCAAGTTCATAGAGAACAAGGGGAGGTGGAGACCCGTGAGGGAGCCAGAAGGGGTTGCCAGACATGGAGAAACGATGGAGCTGCGGCCAAATGAGGTGTCGGCCAGGGTGACAGGGACATGTGATGTGAGAGGTGTGATTGTGGTGCAGTCGCGGAAGAAGCAGCAACACATGACTGAGTCCAGCGTGAAGGTGTGCAAAGCCTCCGTAGGAATTGCACCTCTGCTAGCAATCTCATAAGCACCTACACTAGAAGCCTCTACACTACCAGACATATGCACACACGAATAATAGTCACCCTCAGCATTAGCACCAATAGCATACATATCATACATGCCAGCAGAGATCTGGTCCCATTCAAGAGAAAATACATCTACGCCCTTATTGAGCAATCCAAACCAGCCAGGATTCTTGGCCTATTCACAACACTTCACGCGAAAGGCGTCGTCGAGGCTGTAGAAAAAGCGAGCCCTTGTCTGCCACAGACGCCGCCAACTCGGAAACCTCTTCGCCGGACGAACTAGCAGCGACCACCACTCGCGGTGACTCCTCGCTGGGCAACCCACTAACGTAGCTGCTGCGGCGAGAGATTCTACTGCCGACGTGGCTGCTAGTGCTGCTGCCTACCCCCAAAAGCTCCGCCTCCACCAGCTGCACCACCGGACGCAACTCCTCTTGTGGCCATATCCGAGCCTCCACCTTCACCAGCTCCACCTCGACCACCACCCGCGCCCCCTCTACCACCCCACTGCCTCCACCATCTCCGGCACCTCCACCGTCACCGCCACCCCCGCCACCACCACCTCCACCACCCCCGCCACCGCCACCGCTACCACCGCCTCCACCACCTCCACCGGCCCCACCCTTCTTACGCCCACCCTTGCCGCTGCGCCTCCCACTAAGAGCAGACGCATCACCGGCCTCCTCAGTACCAAGGAGGTCAACAGCAGCAGCAGAGGCAACAACAGATGTAGGGAGGAAAGGGGAGCACCCCTCAAAGAAGGAGGGGTGGGGAGTGCCACGAGAGGCAGCTACAACGCATGCACTGGTCTTAGCCGCGAAGGGATGGGAGCCAAACGAGGCAAGGGGGAGCTCGGTGGGGTCTAGGGAGAGGAAGTGGTCTTTAGCGGTGCGAAAGGAGTCAGGGAGGCGAGTCGTGAGGAAGTAGAGTGTGAGATACATGGGAGGATGGTTTTCAGCCAGAATGTCTGGCTTGAGAGCAGCATGGTAGTGCGTGTCATGGAAGCGAAGGTAAGGTCGGCTACAGTGGGGAAGTCAGCCAGATCAAGGAAGATAAACGGCAGTGCAAGTCAGCCTAGGGTGGCAGAGCGTTGAACTACAGTGTTATAGAGCAACTTGGCCGTTTTCAGCTGGAGAAAGTGGGACCTCTGATCGGGCGAGAGGTGAGAGCGGGCTGCAAGCTGGGCAGTAGCCCACTCTGTGTGGGCAATGCGGTCAGTCTTAAACTGCTGCCGCTGATCGTTAGTAGCGGTAGGGCCAGGGGGAGTCCGCTCATCAGGGGCAAAAAGGGACCCTGACGTGTGCTCAAAAATCAAGGAGTCATCCTTGGTAACGGCGTACAGGCGGTGGCTGAAGCGGTAGTGGTGACAGCGGGAGCATTAGGGGCGGTAGTTGGAGTGGCAGTGGCTGCGGCTGTAGTGTCAGCGGTGGTGGCAGCAGCAGCGGCAGCGGTGGAGGTAGTAGCAGCAGTGGCAGCGGCTGCAGCAGCAGTAGTGGCGGCTGGAGGACACCGGTGGCGGCAGCTGCAGCGACGGCGGCAACAGCAGCAGTAGTGGCGACTGTAGCGGAAGTGACGATGGCAGCTGCAGGGTTGGTAGTGGTAGGGGCGGCGACTGTAGCTGTGGCTGTAGCGGCAGCGGCGGTGGCAACTTTAGCGGCAGCTGCAGTGGCAATGACGGCAGGGGCGGCAGCTGCAGTGGCAGCAGTGGTGGCTGTAGCGGCAGCAACGGCGGCAGATGTAGCGGTAGCTGCAGTGGCAGTAGCGCCAGGGGCAATGGCTGCAGCGACGTCTGTTGCTGCAGCAGCTGTGGCATCTGCAGCGGCAGCGGCTGTAGCGGCAGTTGCAGCGGCTGTGGCGGGAGCGGCAGTAACGGGAGCAGCAGCGGCAGTTTCAATGGCAGCGGCAACTGTGCGGCAACAGTTGCTGCAGCAATGGCATTGGCTGTAGCGGCAGCGGAAGAGTTAGCGGTGGCGGCGGCGGCAGTTGTAGTGGGAGCGGCAGTGGCCGCAGCAGCGGCAGCGGCGGCGGCAGCAACTGCGACTGTAGCGGCTGCGCATGGAAGTAGCAGTATAAGGGGCAGCAACGGCGCGCGAGCAGCGGCGGCGTGCGAGCAGCGGCGGCGCCCGACAGCAGGGGCGCACGTGGCAGTGGCTACGCGCGAGCCGCAGCGGAGCCCGGCAGCAGCGGTGCGTGGGGCAATGGCAGCGACGGCGCGCTGGGCAAGGGCAACGACGGCGCGCCGGATAGCGACGGCACGCGGGGCAGGGGCGGCACGCGAGCAGCGGCGGCGCCAGGCAGCAGTGGCGCGCGGGCAGCGGGAGCGCGTGGGCATGGGCAGCAGAGGCGCGCATGGGGCGGCGCAAAGAGCTGCGCGCGGCTCGCACACCAGTTCGGAGTAGCGCGTGGCACACGCGGCAGCGCGGGGGGCGCGTAAAAGTACGAGGCGCGCAAAGAGCAGCGCGCTAGGGGCAGCTTGGGGAAGTTTGCGCATGGGGCAGTACGGGGCAGTAAATACGGCGATTGGACCTAACATATTCTCGGATACCCTGTTAAAGCTCGTGTCTAAGATTTCCTAGCGTTTAACACTTGGTTGGGTTCCCCCTACCGTGATTGGGTAACGAATGACCAAACATTTGACGAGCTGGTGAAAAAAACACAGCGAACTCCGCTGTGTTCAAGGCCAAACCAAACCAGGGCTGGCAGGTTTGGGTGGAAGTCAAGCCTTGGGGGACAGGTTTGGCCTTGATTGGGAACTGAACGACCACCACCTCCCCCCCCCATGTCGCACGTGTACATAACTGAAGTACCACAAAATGAGTGCTACCTCGTTCCTTTCCACACTCCCGTCACCAAGCAGTAGGACCACCGGAACAAAAACAAGGTAAGCATTCATACCCCGATCCTATTAGGGACGGGCTGAATTAGATCAGGGAAAGGCGAGGTAAGCGTGATGATGGGCGGGATGAGGTTGGAAAGAGGAATGCGATAATAAATGGCGAAATGAGTGCGTGAAGTGCGGAACGAAAATAAGAAGGGCGTAACGACAGGACGAAGGGCGGAGCGATAGCGTGAGAGGCAGAATGGAAGGAAGAAGGGCAGATCGATACTCCCCCTATAATCACTACTCCCTTCTCCCTTTCACAGCAACCCCCTTCCTCCTCTCACAGCACCTACCTTCCCCCTCTCTCAGCACCTCCCTTCCCCCTATCTCAGCACCTCCCTTCCCCCTTTCACAGCAACCCACTTCCCCCTTTCACAGCACCTCCCTTCCCCCTCTCTCAGCACCTCCCTTCCCCCTATCACAGCAACTCCCTTACCCCTCTCATAGCACCTCCTTTCCCTCTCTCACAGCACCTACCTTCCCCCTCTCTCAGCACCTCCTTTCCCCCTATCTCAGCACCTCCCTTCCCCCTATCACAGCAACTCCCTTTCCCCTTTCACAGCGACCCCCTTCCCCCGCTCACAGCACCTCCTTTCCCCCTCTCTCAGCATACTCCCTTCCCCCTATCACAGCACCTCGCTTCCCCCTCTCTCAGCACCGCCCTTCCCCCTATAATCAAAACTCCCTTCTCCCTTTCACAGCACCCCCCTTCACCCTCTCACAGCACCTCGTTTCCCCCTCTCTCAGCACCTCCCTTCCTTCTATAATCAAAACTCCCTTCTCCCTTTCACAGCAACCCCCTTCCCCCTCTCACAGCACCTACCTTCCCCCTCTCTCAGCACCTCACTTCCCCCTATCACAGCAACTCCCTTCTCCCTTTCACAGTAACCCCCTTCCCCCTCTCTCAGCTCCTCCTTTCCCCTTCTCTCAGCACCTCCCTTCCCCCTATAATCAAAACTCCCTTCTCCCTTTCACAGCAACCCCCTTCCTCCTCTCACAGCACCTCCTTTCCCCCTCTCTCAGCAACCCCCTTCCCCCTCCTCACAGCACCTCCTTTCCCACCCTCACAGCACATGTTGCACACTGAACAGCACCTTCTCTCCCCTGTCTCAGCATTGCCGTCCCCCCTCTGACCACACCTTCATCTCCCCCTCCCCTCGCCTACCTTTCCCACGTGACCTCATCTCCCTTACCCCTCACTAAGCACCTATTGCCAGTCAATCCACCATGCAAGCTGCCAATGTATACTCATTCCGCCACTCATTCCGCCGTGTACTATCGTTCCGCCCCTCATTCGACTGTGTACTATCGTTTCGCCACTCATTTCGCTGTATACTATCGTTCCGCCTCTCATTCCGCCGTGTAATATCGTTTCGCCACCTATTCTGCCGTGTACTATCGTTCCGCCTCTCATTCCGCCGTGTACTATCGTTCCGCCTCTCATTCCGCCGTGTACTATCGTTCCGCCACTCATTCCGCCGTGTAATATCGTTCCGCCACCTATTCCGCCGTGTACTATCGTTCCGCCTCTCATTCCGCTGTGTACTATCATTCCGCAACTCATTCCGCTGTGTACTATCATTCCGCCTCTCGTTCCGACGTGTACTATCATTCGTATCATTACAGCCATATGCGAGTAGCTCAATTGGGCCTCGTCCCGCACGGGCCTACGTTATTGACCCATTCTAGCGCCATGCTCGTAGCTAGGGTAATCTCCCGCCCCACTGTCGAGCTCACCTAATCCAGGGGGAATGTCAGGGCGATGCAAGCCGGTTCGAGGCAGGTCGGCGTGGGTAGTGGATTGTGTGGGAATCTGGTGCCTATTTTTATCGGCTATGAGGTGAGCGGTTATATGGGTTGCAGGTTTGATTGATGACGAAATGGTGGGAATGGGCATAAGATGTTTAGCGGCCGAAGAATGGTTCCTGCGACTGACCTAGTGGGATTTATGTGAGAGAGCTCTAGAGTAAGACGGGCGTTTCGAGGGTACAACACTTGGTGCAGAGTGCCTTTTGCATAAGTGACGAGTTATGTGCCTCATATTTCCGTGCTGGTGTAAAACGCTTGTTGTGCAGGCTGGAGAGGCGCCGGTTGGTTTTCGCACGATTGATTGTACACCTGTTGTTTTGTCGCTCAGGTTGGTTTGCCAAACAAACCTACTTTGGCTTATCTGCCCACCCAATCATACGGCACGTTGCAAACCCACACCACCCAACCTACACTGCCTCCACCCTGAAACCTTGCCAAGGACAACTTTGCGACAAAGTTGTGTATTACCCAGTTTCTAGCGTTTAACACTTGGTTGGAAAGGGGTAATATGAAACGCGGGCTTTAAGAACGTAGGAAACATGAATGACTAAAAGGAAGGGTACAGAGAAACAAGCATGGTATGAAACCACATAGGGGTTGTAGCCTTAAAGGCTGTCAGAATCAGAAGTAGATCGTAACCAGGATCACCTCAGGAAGGTTCGCACACTTCTAGTCTAGTGGTGGTGGGCCCTTGACCTCAATAGCAGAGTGAATGTAAAATGCTTGAGATGATAAAAACATGCAAATACAGCGATATAAATAAGAGTACAGGGAAATACGAATCGACCTAGCTAGCCATGTACTCTAAGAGGTACATTCCCTTATTCAAATTCATTCCCAACCGTGCGGCGCGTACAGTTACAAAACTATTCCCGCCAGAATCCTTCTGCCTGCAACTGCCCGATGCCATCTGCTCCGACGGTCCAGATGCATCTCAACCGTCTGACGTTTCGAGTCAATTCTGACTCTTCACATTCGTTCTTGATACTGCATGCTCCTTTAGCTGCGGTCGAGAGTGCACTGTGATCTTCATTCATTGCTATTCGTAACACCCCCCTTCACTCCTGGCCGCAGCTCGACTTGGCCTGCTTGACCACTCCGCTGAGTTCGGAACAATGCTGATACTGCTGGCGTGGCAGTCGCTTCGTGAGAAAGTCTGCTGCCATGCCACCAGTCGGGCAGTAGGTCAAGTTAACCTTGCCTTTGTCCACTTCGTCCTTCACGAAGAAATACCGCAGCGCAATGTGCTTGGTGCGGTTGACGAAACCAGGTTTGTTCGCGATGCGAATCGCGCTCTAGTTGTCGTAGTGGAGACGAAAGGTGGACGAAGCTGAAATTTTTGCCTCCTGCAGGAGCTCCTGCAAGTAGAGGCCTTCGCGAACTGCTGCGGTTGCTACGATGAATTCCGCTTCGGCTGACGACATGGCAACCAGCTCCTGCTTCTGCGAATTCCAGAAGATTGGTCCCGTTGGTTCGAGTCGGAACAGGAAGCCAGTCCTCGACCGTCGATTGTCGGGATCTGCTGCGTGATCGGCGTCCACGTAGCCGATGAGATTGAAGGATGGGGTTGGTGCAGTTGAGTAGCACAACCCAATCTTGGGTGTTGAAACGAAGAACTGTAGGGCGCGCTGCAGGTCCAAAAGATTCTCAGCCGTTGGTTTACGTGAGTACTGGGCCAGCTGACTTGCGATGTAGGAAAGGTCAGGCCTGCATGTGACAGAGGCAAAGAGCAGGCATCCCAGCTACTGCTGGTAAGTCTGAACTCCGGCAGGGGATAGGGCTTTGTTGTCAGGTTTGTGGTTCGGTCCCGGAGTTCGGTAGGGAGTGGAGAGCGGTGCAGGTGAGATGTTGAACCGCTTCCCTAACTCCTCTGCGTACTTAGCCGCTGAGAGGTGAATGGCCTCAGGTGCGTAGGAGACGTTGAGGCCTAAGAACTGCTTCACCTCATAGTTGCACGTGATGTCGACGCGCCCCGCCAGGCTTTTCTCAAACTGCTCGAGTAACTCGTTGCTTAATCCCGTGTAAAGCAGGTCGTCGACGTAGACCGTGAGGAGAATGTATTCGCCGCGGAAGTCGCGGCGGTACATTCCTGGATCGTGCGGCATCTGCTTGAACCCGATTTCAAGCAAGATGTTGTGCAGATACTGCTGCCAAAGCCTTGGTGCCTGTTTTATCCCGTACAGAGATTTGCGCAGCTGGCACACGCGCGAATCTCCTTCGCCGTATGTGTGCAGATGCTCCACGTAAATCACGGCGTCTACTAACGCGTACAGGAACGCGTTCTTCACATCGATCTGGCGGAGGGGCAGATGCCTTGCTGCTGCGATGGCGAGCAGGATTCGGACGGAGGTGTGGCGGCTGACTGGGGCGAACGTCTGGTCGAAGTCGATGCCGTGCCTCTGGTCATATCCTCGTACCACCCAACGCGCCTTGAAGCGCTCGATTGTTCCATCCGCTGCGGTCTTCACGCGGAAGACCCATTTTCCCGAAAGAACTCCTGCACCTTTGATTGCCGCACGGTCGACTAGCACCCAGGTGTCCCGGGATTCGAGCGCCTTGATTTCCGCGTCCATCGCCTCACGCCATTCTTTGCTGTGTGGTCCAGTGAGAGCTTGGCGCAGGTTTCGCGGCTCGATGACATGTGGCGCCTTCGAGGTTACGGTGTGAAGCCCGAGCAGCTGCAATCCTGAGACGGTGCTGTCATGGCGACGTTGCGGGATGACTTCCTGCACATCGTCGTCATCGCTCTCTGGTTCAGGTGGTGCAGGTGGTGCTGCGCCACTGCCGCTTCCGCCTGTTCCGCCCATTCCTCCTCTGGAGGAGTCGTCGTTGTCGTCGTCGTCGCTGCTGCGATCTCCCCGTGTGAACTCGCCCTTGGTGTCCTGCTCCAGGATTGCTGCCGCAGCTTCATCCTCGGGCGTTGCGTAGCTGTGCCCATCGTTTGCATAAACACGGTTTGCATTCGTCTGCTCGTCGTGGCGGAACTGGTCGAGGAAGAGGCGTAGAAAATCACGTCGCGAGCGTGGGTGGTCTTCTAACTGAGCAGGTCCAGTACGATCCATGCCTTGTGCTCGTGGCTGATGCCGAGGTGAATGCCCCAACGTGCGCGGCTGGCGAATTTGCCGATGGCTGACGTTGGCGGGCGGTATTGGACCATGCACTCCCAAACGCGGAGCATGGACGTGTCCCCCTTGGTCCCGGTCCACTTCACATGCGGGGACAGGTTGCTGGTGATGGCGGTAGTTGACAGTAAGTTGTGCACCCGCACGGCATGGTGCATCGCGCGAGTCCAGTAAATTGGCGGCAGTTTTGACTGCTTCATCAATGCTCGCACCTTCGTCATCAGCGTGCGGTTCGTCCGCTCAGCTACGCCCTGTTGCTGGTGTGCGTAGGGGAGAGAAATATGGTGCTCGATCCCCTTTTGCGCGAGGTAACTCTGCATCTGATTGCTCCTGAACTCCTTTGCGCCGTCAGATTGCCAGATTTTCAGCTTCTCCCGGGATTGCCGCTGCGCGTGCGCAAGCCAGAGGCGAAACACCTCATAGGCTCTGTCGCGTGTTTCAACGTTCAAGATCCACACATAGTGCGTTCCGGCGTCGATGAAGGTAAGCGTGTACATTTCGTCGTCGACTCCGCAGTGCCCCACGTTCAGGAAGTGGCTGTACACCTTGTGCAGCTTGGGGTAGCGGTTCGTCCCTGGCTCGAGCAGCGGGAACGGCTGGTGGCTTAGCGCAGCTTCGGGGCAGACGGTGCAGTTGCGCGGATGTGTCGTGCCTCTCACTTTGGTGCCGTCTGGGCGTAGCAGTGCCCCACGAGCGAAGACTCCTGCGTCGATGCAGTTCTTCAGTGTCGCACGCGAAGGATGTCCGAGACGCTGATGCCAGAGCGCATCGTCAGCGCGAAAGCCGGAAGTGCGCATGTACCGTGTGCGAGCTTCTTCGGGGTCCTCATCAGGTACAGGGGCAAGTGCTGCTGGTGCTTCTTCTGCTGCTTCATCTTCGTCGTTGGCGGTAGTCAGCATTAGCGCCAGAAACTCTCTGTCACGAATCTCAGAGAGGGGAATGTTAGTCCCAGGGATAGTTCCAGGTAAAAAGATCGGTTCGCGCGACTCGGGAGCAGGTCCGTAGACGGTGCGACGCGGGGTTGACGGTTCGTTGCCCTAGTCGATGGTGTCCCAGGGGTCGCGCTGCGGTGGGTTGTCAGGAGGAGGTAATGCGAGTGGGGTGCGGCGCGGGGGACGACCAAGGGGAGCAACTGCAGGTGTTGCCTTAGTTTCCT